CTTAAGGTACGGTCTGCCAGGCGCGACGTGTCGCGACGACTGGTCGCAGCGACCGGCGATCATGAACTGTCGTCGCGACTGTTGTGGTCTACAAGTAACGACCGCGACATGTCGCGATGATTAAATTATTATTTTCGGCCTGTTTTCACAAACAGTAATATTGTCATTTCAGTTTAATATCTCTTCAAGTACGCATTACGCGAGTATTCTAAAAAAAATCTTATACAATGGATAAATTTATTTTTAATAATAATAATATTTTAAGTCTTCTCTTAATGGATGAGGATGACGATGAGGCTAGATTATTATCTTATTTAACGCCAAAGAAAAGAAAAACAACGGACAATATCTTTAAAAATCGCGAAAGTGAAGGATTTTTTGAAATATTAATTAATCGACATTTAACAAGCAATCACGTTAGGTTTCGGGAATATTTCCGAATTAATTATGAACAATTTAATTTTTTACTATCTTTGGTGGAAGAAAAATTAACTTTACCACCTAACAATCGAATTAAAAATCCTATATCGCCGGCAGAAAAATTAGCAGTTACTTTAAGGTATTATAATTAATTTAATATTTTATAAATTGTATCTATACCTACCAGTGGCGTATTAACAGTATTTACGGTAGTAATTAAGTTTGAATTCTTTTTAAATAGGTATCTTGCCACTGGTGAATCATTGAGATCATTAGCATTCGCTTTTCGTATCAGTCATAACTATTTAAGCATAATTATAAAAAAAACACTAGCTGAATTGAAAATTAAATTGGTGTCCATTTTTTTGCCCGATTCAAAAAATATTGATTATAAACAAAAATCCGCAGAATTTTCGTACAAGTCGAATTTCCCAAATTGTATTTTAGCAATTGATGGAAAACATGTCCGTATACGAAGTTCAAGCAGTTCTGGGTCATTATAAACGACCATTTTTCGAATATGATACTAAACAATTACCACCAACTAACAATATGATGCCACTTTCCCGACGAGGAAGGTTTTCAAATATTGAAGGATTTGGAGTTAGAAATTTGTTCAGAGAATTTTTTAATAATGAAGAGGCTCTTTCTTGAATCTTGAATTTCTTGATTCTTAAATCATAACCAATAATTAAAGTAATAAAATAATAATAATTAAATAAAAAATCACATAAATGTTTATTATTAAATTACCAAACATAATAAATAAATCCAACTTTTAATAAAAATTATAAAATACTCAACAAGTAAATGTTAATGAAAAAAATATATAGGTACTTATACATCATATAAAATAAACGTAGATTTTATTTTTACAAAAAACATAATAAAAATTAAAACTTTTAATACTCAGTATGTAAATAAGCGAATATAAAAATTGAAAATAAAAATAAAACATATTACAGATTGTAAAATGTTATGCAGTAGTGGGGTCATCATAGCTGTACATGGAAAACTGTGAGTCTAATGATCTTGAGTACATACTTGTTGATGGGGAAGGCTGAAAGGAATCCAATGTTTGAAAATGTTGTTGAACAGCATGTGGGTGTATAGGTTGTTCGTCTAACAAATACTTTTCTTCAAGTTCAGTCATCAATGAAAAAATTTTTCTCTTAGCTTCGAGTTATCCTTTGATTGGTAATTTTTTAGCTGTTACGGCCACAGTTTTGAAAAANATCCTTTGATTGGTAATTTTTTAGCTGTTACGGCCACAGTTTTGAAAAATAAATCAAATTCATCGAAACTTTCTTCTTTCTTTTCCAATAGTGTTCATTTTAATTCATAATTTTCTTTATAAGCAAACTTCGTTCCTCTGAATTATTCACAAATAAATCGGCAATGTTTTTTGATTTAGAAATACCACGCTTTCTAATTAAAGTTTCAGTCGGTAAATTTTCTAACTAATTTTCGGACTAAAAATGACGATACGGAAATCTTCCCTCGTAATCGGAATGAATACTTTATATCTCTTAGAATAAATCGTGTTAATATATACATTTTAATAGTAATTAGAATATATATATATATATATATATGTATATACAAATAATGCGACTTAAGTACGTAAACATATCATGCACTAGGTATAGCTGTGTTTTGTTGGCGGGCGGGTCGGACTAACGTTATACCTGAGGTATAAACGGCGGGAGGAATATATACGTAAGCCGTATGACACGCGGATGGTATTGGTCAGTCAAAATAAAAATTTGTTTATAATATTGTATATAATATTGGTGAGACGCACGCGTGTACGGGTACGATAACTAAAAATAAATTTTTATAGGAATAGTGTTGCCGTTGTGATGTGAGCGTGGCGTGGGGCGGGGTGGTTGCGTTATGACAGTCTAGTCTCAAGGCCATAGACGACGGAATATGCGATAACGCGTGGCGCTTGGAGAGTTACATACAAACATACATACAGGTGAAACTAGTATAAGCGTGTTAAAAGAAAGAATTTTCGAATCGGTTTATAAATAGCGTATTAACATAAAAATTACAACCGAATTCATAACATCCTCCTTTTTTTTAAAGTCGGTTAAAAACAAATAAAAGAAAATATATGCTCTATGAGTACTAAAGTAGACAATCCGGATTCCGCCCGATTACCATTATTATGGTTCACGATCGGTTCAAGCGACCCTCGAGTGCTGAGAAAGTTCAGCGTTCAATAAGTAATGCAGAATTTGTTTATAAGTACTGTAGTAATACAAAAAATATAAGCAAAAACGGTGAATGTATGAGGTATTTAATTTGACCAAAGTTGGATGTTAGGGATTTGGTCAATTCAGGAGCAACGAGGTTCTATCGGGGTAGTAGAGTCCGAGGGTTTAGAATAATAAAGACAAGTAGATATAAAAAGATACAAATTAAGTTCCTCTCATAGAGGTATTAAAAATGATCTAACTGGTAAGTACCTGAAATAATACACTGAGGCAACGAAGAGGCGGTGGCCATCTCACGAATACCCAGTCGAAGTGTTTATATATACAGTAGAAATCACATTAGGTTTTAAACTCTTTTAGGCAACGAAGAGGCGGTGGCCATCTCACGAATACCATGTAATGTGATTATGTATAAGGTACGAACTAGTCAGTAACAATTAATAAAGTTTGAATATAAATATGTGATCTATTGCTTTATCATTCTTTACTCAGATTATTAATTCTAAATAATTGGGTTAATATAAATTTACTTACTTTTTTATTTGGCTTGTACAAAGATCGTCAAAGTTTGCGTAAATATTTATACTATCTCTTTTAAATAAATAAAGTGTTAACGCAAAATAATTGTATTCAATATCGCTTTAAAATGTACCGACGACAACACGGGGTCGCGGCTAGTTTGTTCAAAATCAAAACAGAAGAATTCTGAATTCCTTATTGAATTCAGGTCTTCAAAAGAAGAGAGAATTCTTTTCTCTTAGAAAATCAGCGCCTTTTTATATTACTTTTAATTACCCCCATCATGGGTTGTTGCCGTCAGCGCTTTTAGTGATTTTCAGTTTATTGTGTAAAATTTGAACATAACATGATAATTATTTTTAAGATAAGATTCATAGTATACAATAATCAATTTAACATGTATATACATATATAATAGCTATTGTACAAATGTGTATATGTTATGACAGATAAATTAATTATTTGTGTTGTATACAATAATTGTATACCAATTATTGGTAGTAAATATAGAGTAGTAATTTTTTTAATGATAATGTAAGATGCGTAATGCAGAACATTGTGCATATTACGACAGTACTAAGGCAGATCAAAGTTCAAAATAAAACCGTACGGTTCTAATAATGTTCAAGAGAGCATTCGGTAATGTGGCTCTCAGTTTTTGTTCTGTTTTTCCTTTCAAATTGTATCTACTACTTAAGTATAATAGAATCATAATTATAATAATAGTTTTAAAGTTTTTTTTCTATAATTTAGATATTCAGTTATAATTTTATATAATAATTTAACCTTTATTTAGTAAATTAATAAAATAATAATATTTTAAATATAACAATGATCTATGATGACTTTATTGAGCTAGTGCTAAATCATATGGTGATTTTATGGCGGAACAACTAACTAGGGATGAGTAATTCACGACTGAATCGATTCACCGGATGATTCGATTGAAGTGATTTAGTGTGGTAGAAGAATCAGTTAATGGGTAACACTGAAATTTAGCTTATCTCGCAATAAAAGCACACCTAAATACACCATGATCTACGTTATCATTGTTATAGCAAACAATTCTGATTTTCTAAATACCATTAGTTCGAACCAAAAAATGGATAAGCGAGAAAACATCAGACCACTTTTCTGACTAGGAATATTTTTAACGGAATTTAAAAAACAATGCATAATAAAAAAATGTTATATCTGGCCCCCCCAAATTACCAACAAGCAACTGTTACTATTTACTATCAAAAAAAATAATGATCATAAAAATCGTTGTATAACTATTTGATCTTTTAGTGTCTAAACATTATCATGATAAAACATTTTTCTCTTAATTAAGTTCAATATGAATAATTATTGTTTGAATCACTGAAT